CAACTGTTTCGTATTTGATGGCATTGAGAGGGAAGCACAGTGCTGAAAAAGAGATTCGCGGCAATCATGTCGATCATTACATGAGGCTTCCTGGGTGGATGTACATGCTGAGAGAAAGAAATCCTGGATCCATAGTGCGACTTGAGTTGGACAATGATCAGAAAAGCTTCAAGTACCTATTTGTCGCGTTAAGTGCAACTATAAAAGGATGGAAGTATATGCGTAAAGTTGTTGTTGTTGATGCGATATTTTTGACAAGCGAATACAAGGGAGCATTGGTCGTGGCAACCGCGCAGGATGGAGAACATCACCAATATCCTTTAGCATGGGGTGTGATCGATAGAGAGAAAGACGCTTCATGGAGGTGGTTTATGAATAGATTGAGCGAAGTAATACCGGATGGACCTGATGTGGTTGTGATATCCGATAGGCATAAAAGTATAATGAAAGCTGTGAGAGAAGTATATAAACAAGCTGATCACGGTTTTTGTGCAAGGCACATATCGCAAAACTTGAAAGCACATGTTAATAGGGGATCCAGAAGAAAGGGTTCAAGAGGTGAAACCGTGGCTAAATTGTTTTTTAAATGTGCATCAGCATACACGGAGAAGGAATTTGAAGAGTTGTACTCTGATTTCAAGAACAGATATGCCTTGTGTGACCAGTGTGATCAACGTGACCAGTGTGACCAACGTGACCAGTGTGACCAACGTGACCAGTGTGACCAACGTGACCAGTGTGACCAACGTGACCAGTGTGACCAACGTGACCAGTGTGACCAACGTGACCAGTGTGACCAGTGTAAACTGATGTGAATATCTCATGATTTGCAGGTATCCCAAAGCGGCAGAGTACATGGAAAAAGAAGAACTTGCTCCGGAGAAGTGGGCAAGGTGTAAATTTCGGACTGAAAGATATAACTTATTAACCACCAATGGTGCCGAATCAATCAACTCCGTTTTGAAGAAGGCCAAAAGGTATCTGCTACTCAGTTTGCTTGATATCTGTGTCGCGAAGACGGTAGAATAGTTCAGTAGGTACAGGGTGGAAGCATGTGGTGGCGATGATTCTCAAAAGTTAACTCCGTATGTGTACAAAGCGCTGCATGAACGGTTCGAGAAGGCCTGTACATATGAGGTTATTGAACTTAACAGGTTGAGTGGTATGTTTGAGGCAAGAGATGAAAAAGGTAGAAGACATTTGGTAAATCTTGGTGATAGAACCTGTAGTTGCAGTAAGTTTGATGTGGATAGGTATCCATGTAGTCATGCAATTGCAGCAGCACATAAGGTCGGAAAAGGTATTGCGATTCACGAATTATGCTCTGAATACTACTGGCGAGAGACTTGGGTCAAGGCTCACCAAGAGACTGTGTATCCCGTGCCCGATATTTGTGATTGGGTCTTACCGCCCGAAATTTTAAATTTTTCAGTGTTACCGCCTATAATACAAGAAAAACGTCGGACTGGAAGACCTAAACAGAGTCGCTTTCCTGGACCTGGCGAGGCTCGAAAAAGACCCCAAAGTTCAACATCTTCAGGGAGAAAAAATTTGGAATTAATCGCCTAATTAGTCTGCACTAAATGTAACTTTTATTCCTACTGAACAATGTAATTTTTATTCGAAGTTTAATTCACTCTTAATGCTTTGTGTTCATAGCTTTCGATCGAAAAATACTCAGCGATTTTACATTGATCCAAAGTGTTCCTAAAACACTACTAACACTTATGAGATTCGTTTTGTGTTCATAGCTTTCGATCGAAAAATGCTCAGCGATTTTCAACTCCAATTACTTTTCCGAACCATATCTATGATCGTAGATTACACCTTCAAAGCATTGAATTCATCAAATTCGATCAGTGTGACCAGTGTGACCATCGGGATGTGATCAAAATGAACAAATTCATCTATGGGGGGATTGAATAAGGTTTTTGCGTTGTAGAACGATGTAAATACACTTCACACGAACGTCTCGTGAGCGGTTTGAACAAAAAAAATACGAACACAAAGTTACATTGATCCAAAGTGTTCCTAAAACACTACTAACACTTATGAGATTCGTTTTGCGTTCATAGCTTTCGATCGAAAAATGCTCAGCGATTTTCAACTCCGATTACTTTTCCGAACCATTTCTATGATCATATATTACACCTTCAAAGCGTTGAATTCATCAAATTCGATCAGTGTGACCAGTGTGACCAGTGTGACCATCGGGATGTGATCAAAATGAAGTTTAGGGGTTAGATTTCTGGTTTAGGTTTAGGGTTTCTGGTCTGGGGATGAATTTCTGGTTTGGGGTACTGAAGTACGAATTACGTTTTATGGGGAGATGTGCAACGTTACCATTTAATGCGGGCCCACACAGATGATTCTGCAGAAAAGCAGAAAGCAGAATCGCTTTATTAGGTTCAATTTTTT